GCAGCAGGTGCTTTGGTCCCCGCACTGTACTTGGGGGAACCAGACTGAGTTCCAGGCTCCTGGCGTTGGCCTGGCCCAGCCCTGGCTGTTGTGTGTCCTGAGGGAGTAAACCAGTAGATGGAAGATTTCTGTCCATCCATCTGTGTCTATTTTTGCTTTCAAATAAAAATAAACAAATGAAAAAAATTAATTTAGTAGTGACTGGCACATGGCAAGTGATTAATAAATATTGGCTACTGTTATTAAGAGACATTCTCACATGTCAAAAAAAAATTGCAGGGGCTGGTGTTGTTAAGCTGCCATCTGCTATACCTGAACCCCATGGGATGCCTGGTTCAAATCCCAGCAACTCCATTTCTCATCCAGCTTCCTTCTAATGCACTTAGAAGGCAGCAAATGACGCCACAAGTGCTTGGGTTCCTGCCACCTGCAAGGGGTAGCCAGATAGTTCTTGGCTCCTGGCTTCAGCCTGGCTCAGACCCAGCTGTTGCTGGCATTTGGGGATTTTAGCAGAGAATGGAAGATCTTTGTTTCTTCCCTCCTCTCTCTGTCACTCTGTCAAATATATAAGTAAATCTATATAAAAAACTCTCTTTTTCATATAATGCTAAGTAAGTGGAGATAGTTGAGTTAAAATAAGGTACAGAATATTTAACCCCCCAAAAAGTTGTGTATTTTTCTAATCCATATACTCTGTTAGGAAAAATGGCCCAAGGTTGTTTCCAATCAAGCCTAAAAAGGAAAAAAAAGATAAGCCTGCTATTGCCCAGAGTTCCTGTATCACAAGTGTAACTAAAAAACCATATGTTAATAAAAACCATATGTTAATAAAAATTCTGGGAACTGGTGACAGGAAATCAGAAGTCAGCAAAACAAAAGCTTCCTGAAACTTCTTGCCTTTTGCCCACCAGCCATCCCGGATCTGTGGCTCTTTCCTGTTAAGAAAAGACGGCTACTGGCCAGCACTGCGGGCTCCCAGCTCTCAGGGCACTTGTAGACTGTTATTTCTAGAACAGCCAGGGTTGGACCAAGTCAAAGTCAGGAGCCTGGAACTCCATCCAGTCTCCCACACACCCAAAGCACTTGAGCCATCATCTGCTACCTCCCAGGATGTGTTCATCAGCAGAAAGTTGCATCAGAAGCAGAGCAGCTGGGACTCAAACTGGCATTTTGATATGGAATGCAGGTGTCTTAGGCAGCGGTTTAACTCACTGCATGACAACGTCTGCCCCAAATACTGAATTCCTTTAAATAAATTAAAAGAGAGAGAGAGAGAGATTTGAAAGGCAGAGGGACAGACACACACACACCTTCCATTCACGGGTTGACTTCCCAAATGGGCACACTGGCCAAGGCAGGGCCAGGCTGAAGCTAGGAGCCCAGAACTCCATCTGGGTCTCCCACATGAATGGCAGTGGCCCGAATACTTGGGACCATCATCTGCTGCCTTTCTAGGCACATTAGCAGGGAGCTGAAGCAGAGTAGCCAGGGTTTGAAAGATGTCACAAGCAACAGTTTAACCTGCTGTAGCTCAACACTAGCCCTTCCAAAACTGATTTTTTTTTTTTTAAGATTTATTTGAAAGTCAGAATTAGAGAGAAGAGACAGAGGGAGAGAGAAAGCAAGAGATCTTCCATCCACTAGTTCACTCCCTAAATGGCCAAAATAGCTAGAGCTGGGCCAGCCTGAAGTCAGAAGCCAAGAGCTTTATCTGTCTCCTATGTGGGTGCAGGGACCCAAGGACTTGGGCCATCTTCCACTGCTTTTCCAGGTGTACCACCAGAGAGTGGAGCAGCTGGAACTCGAACCAGGGTCCATATGGGATACCAGGGCTGCAGGATGCGGATTTACCTGCTATGCCACAATGTCACCCCTCACCCCCCGCCAGTACTGGATTCTTAATGTATAAAACCAAATGTCTGGAATTTGCTTTCCAATATTCTGGCTGGGGACGGCGCCAAGGTGCAGTGTTCCAAATTAGCGTGCTTGATTGAGTCCCAGCTGCTCTGCTTCCAATTCAGTTCCCTGCTAACACACCTGGAGAAGCAGTGGAAGGTGGCCAAGTACTTGGGCCCCTGCCACCTATGTGGGCGACAGGGATGGAGTTGGGCTTCTGGCTTCAGTTTGGCCTAGTCCTGGCCATTGGGGCCATTTAGGGAGTGAACCAGCAAATAGAAGTTCTCTGTCTGTCCCTCACTCTCTCTGTCATTTTGCCTTTCAAGGAACTAAAATGAATCTTTCCAATCTGGCTCTCTGCTATGGCCTGGGAAAGCAGTGGGAGATGGCCCAAGTGCTTGGGCCCCTGCACCCACGTGGGAGACGGGAGGAAGCTCCTGGCTCTGGGTGGGCCCAGCTCACTGCTGTTGGATGGCCTACCAGGCACGGCCCAGTGTGATCTCACCCCTGCAGCCTCGCATTTCTCCAGGGTCCTTCTCACTGTGTGCTGCAGCCACACTGGTGTTCTCTCAGCCCCTGGATATGTCGGGGGCTTCTCACTGCAGTGCTTCTGCATATGCCATGCCTCCTGCCAAGGACACAATCAGCTCTCTTTTCCTCCTTGGCCAAAACTCCTACTCACTTGTTTTATTTTTTAGAGATTTATTTATTTGAGAGGTGTAGTGAGGGAGAGAGGGAGAGAGAGAAAACCATCTGCTGGTTCACTCTCCAAATGGCCACAATGGCAGAGCTGGGCAGATCTAAAGCACTTGGGCCATCTTCTACTGCTTTCCCAGGCCATTAGCAGAGAGCTGGATCAGAAGTGAGAACTATAAATCCACTTCTCCAATTCTGCACATATAGAGTAAGGTACACTAGAAAAAAATGGCATTCTGGCAGAAATGAGCACACTTGCCAGCCAGATCTTGGTCTCTAACTAAAAGAAACCAAGGCAAGACTGGGGAATGAAAATATAAGAGCAGCTGAGAATGTGTTGTAATTCCAGAAAGGAAGAAAAGCCCCTCCAAAATACAGGGGCTTGTCAAAGGCACACAGGAGCCAGACCAAAGGAGCCCTGCTGGTCAAAGCTAGAACATTCTGAGCAGCAAAATAATTACAGTATTAAATGTTAACTCGCACAGTAAAGACCCATGAGTCCATTCTGATATTAGAAAAATCAGAGAAGGGAAAGCTCCTCCTTAAAACAGAATTAAATAGAATTCTAATTAATAAATGGAGAAGAGGGAAAAAGAAAAATCAATACTCGTGGCGAGGCAGGCCAAAGTCAGGAGCCCGGGACTCAGTCTGGGTCTCCCACTTGGCTAGCATGGTCCTAAGCGTCTGAGGCATCATCTGCTGCCTCCCAGATGTGCTCTAGCAGGAAGTTGGAAGCAGAAGTGGAGCTGGGACTCGAACCCAGGCACTCGGGACGTAGGCTTCTTAACCACATGCCAATGGCAGCCTCTACTTAGTGTTTTATCTCCCCTAAGATATGCATTAATCCCAATGAGAAAGACAGTAACATTAAAGTCTGAAGACCCAACAGAAAATACATCAGCCAGGAATCAGCCCACTGGCAGGACACACCAAAGCCCAGGATCATGTCTGTGGTATTTCTGCCAAAAACGCATGACCTATTCCAACCATGAAAATACATCTGGCAAACCCAAATTGAGAATATTCTACAAAAAAACTGATGAGTAATCTTCAAAACAGTCAAGTCATGTAAGGAAAGAAAAAAAAAAGTTTTGGTTTTTTAAATAAATAACATTAAAAAAGGCAAATAAAGGGCAGGGGCCTGGCAGAGCAGTTGAGATACTGGCTGGGATGCCTGCATCCTGTAGTGGAGGTCCTGGGTTCACGGCACTGGCCTTCACTCCCAGATCCAGTTTCCTGCTAATGTGTACCTAGGGAGGCAGCAGGGGATGCCGCAAGGACTTGGATCCCTGCCACACACACGGGAGACTTGGACTGAGTTCTTGGCTCCTGGCTTTGGCCTGTTCCAGCTCTCACAAGTCAATTAATTGGTTACTTTAAAAAAAGAAAAAAGCAAATAAATGGTTTTACCACACCACTTCACTTTGAAGACAAAAACAGTATGGCAAATAATATGCTTTTTGTTTGTTTGCTATGTGACTCCATCTCCTGTTCTGCACGCCATTCTCACTGACCCACCTGCAGGGGCAGGAGAGCACGGAGGGGAGAAGTGGAGCACGGGATTACACACAACATACTAGGAAAGAGGAGCACTTATTCTAACAATCTTCTGAAGATTTGGCTCCTGACATTCGGCCAGAAAATTCACATTCTACTCAGGGATTTCAGAAAGATCATTCTCCAATGAAGAAAAAAGTAAACAGAGGTCAAAGATAAGGGAGTAGGGAGTGGAACAGAGGGGAAAAATGACATTCATTTGCCAAGGAGATTTCTTGACAAGACTTTTGTTTGTATAGATGACAGAGAGAGTATTCATTTGGGAAAAGGGCTGAAATATACAACCTCAACACTTTCACAATGTGTTAATTTCATCAAATAATCCGAGCATCCCTTTATCTTCCTTTCAAAAACAAAACGCTACACTGATAAATTAATCATGTCTTCAAAAAGTCAAAGTCACTTTTCACGTTTTATCTTAAGTATATTTTTCAAGATTCATAAGACAACCCCACTCCAGCTTTATTTCAGCGTATGAGGAATATTAGGGAGTACCAGATGTTCTTGCAAACGAAACCAAGGAGGCCGTGGAAGCCAGAGCCCCCTTGGGCAGGAGGACTAGCTGAGAGGATGGACAGGACCTGGGCGCCACAGTAGGACAGACCTGAGACAAAGCCTCAGCTCTCTAACTTACTGGCTCTCACGTCCCAAGCAGGTTCTTCAACATCTATGAACTCTAACTACCTTGCCTGCAAAATATTAAAAACAACACTTAACTCACAATACTGCAAAGATTAAATGGGAAAATTGTACATAAACCGCTTGGTTCATGGCAAATCACTCAAAAAAAAATCAGTTCCTTGCACCCTTCTCTATTTCCACTGTTAAAAAGGTGTTCTCTGAAAACATACCGATTGAAGTTAATGTCTGGGTAGCTAGAATATTCTGATTTCATCTTAGCATTTCGTCGTGGAAATGTGCAGAAGAAAGCATTAGCTAAAAGACTGGCAATCTGCTCCTGTGACATTGTGATGGAATGATTCATCTTCTGCTTCAGGAGTGGTATTGGCTGATAGAGGAAACAAAAAATACAGACGAGAAGAGCAATAATTAGTTTAGCAATTTCAAAGGCAGAGGCACCAAATTGCATTTGCTAAATTAAGGCAGGAATAATTTCAGGCCACTCCTGAATCCTTAAATCAGCAATACTGTTAGAGTCAAGGGCAGTTTATCAGTGATGATTGAAAAAATGTACTGCTTGACAAACTGCAGATTTCTAATCAATGATAGCGAAAAGAGCATAAAACACTACTTATTAGTGAAAAACAAGATTGCTTTAGCAAGTATATAAAAACACATTACCCATGAAATGAAAAATTAAAACAAAAGATGAAACGAAATACAACACTGAGTTTAACTATTATTGCTTATGCAAAATTTCATTCCTCCTTATATTAAAAATCGCTGGAAAGAACAATTTTTCTATCTTAGTCCCCAATAAAATGACCTAAAGAAAATAATTCTGTAGATAAGTCTTTTCCCTCGTATCCTGAATCCTGAATCACACACTGACAATTTCTGTATAAGACCCAGATCTAATTTCATTAAAGCAATTAATGGAACATGTGAAAACCATCACACAGGTTTATGAATAACTCGTAATAAGACAGGCATTTCCCACATAATCAAACATCCCAAGCCAAGGAAGATGCAAGACATTTTTCCTTCAAATCTTTTACGTCTAAAATGTCTTCTGGCTGTACTAAACCCAACTTCACTGAACTTTGTCAGTATAATTGGTAAGACCCAAGCATTGTGTTTAGTGGATTTTATTCTATTCTAAAAGCTAAACTATGTTTTTATTGACATTCCACTAAAACCAAAGAGCAACCACCGGTCTCCCCATCAGTGGTTAAGTTTCAAAATGCCCTATATTACGTTGAAGATGCTTTTCCCTTTCCCTCAGATCTAGGGGTCCTGAGTACCCACACGTATCTCCAACCAGGTGCCTAGGCAGGGCTGCCCTGCCAGTGCCAGATAACACCTAAATGGACCCAGCAAAGATGCAAAAAGACAATTTCAACTACAGTGCGGCAACAAGTAACCATTTTCTAGGTAAAAAGAAACATACATCATTGCTAAATGAAGAGTTCACTAGAAAAAAAGGAAAAAAAGGTAAAAACCACATGAAAGGCAAAGACTTTCTTTTTCCTATGCTGTGCTAACCCCTCCCTTTCAGTTCTTAGCAATCAGCATTGCCAAGAAACAGGAAATAGCTCACATTGATCTCCAAGGCCCATCCTAAACACTTATTCATAACCCAGCCGTGAGTTCAGAAAAAGTGACAGGGTGCCAATGGCTTAGAGCAAACTATTACTTGATTTTAGTGAGAAATGAGCCTTTAACTCCCATTTCCTAAGTTACCCAGAAAAATGATTGCAAAACTTAATGGTGAATATTTTAAGCTTAATGGACTTTAAACACAAACATTTCTTGTCCCCTAAATAAACAAATAGTGTAATTTTAAATAGAGTAAATGCTTTCTGCTCTCTTGCTGAGGGGTAATGCCTAAAAAGTAATTTCGTGGAAAGGGAGGATGTAAATCACAATGCCAAGCATTGAGCTAGAAGAAATGAGGGTGGTTACTAGCAACCAAGATACTAAAGAAGTTCCTGTTCAAAATGTGTTGAATTTCCTTGATATAGATGTACATTTACCTTTCAGACTTGGCCCGGAGTGCCTCACTGCGATAAGCCACTAGATACCCACGCGCGCCACTTAACTTGCCGAAAGGTATTTCCACCTCCAACTGAATCTAACTTGCACGCAGAGGCCGACTTTCCAGTGGAGGACAGAGCATGGGATCAGGATGTCCTCCCCAGCAGCAGAAGAGGAAAGCTGTTCTAAGCCAGGACAAAAGGCTGGGGAATCATTCAGCCTGATTTCAGTGCCACCAAATGACCTGTAAAGTTAGATGCTTCTCAATAATAAATTATCCCATTAAGTAAGGTACGGAAACGCTCTCTCCTAAGAATGAGGGGAAACCGACACGACCCATGAGTAATGGCTGTATACTGTCAATTATGAACTACACAGGGATTCAAGAGGATTTAATTAAAAACCACACAAAAGCCCTGAGAGACTCTGAGCCACAACCAACCAGCAAAGCCGCTCCCAAACTCCTGACCAACAGAAACTGTGAGACAATAAGTACTCATTAAGTGACTATATTCTGGGGCTGGCATTGTGGCACAGTTGCCTGCAACACCAGCATCCTGTTTGAGCTCTGCTTCTAGTCCAGGCTGCACTGCTTCTGATCCAGCTTCCTGCTTGTTTGGCTGGGAAGGCAGCGGAAGATGGCCCAAGTGCTGGGCCCCTGCCACGCACACGGGGGACCTGGCTCCTGCCTTCAGCAGGGACTACCCCAAGCTGTTTTGGCCATTTGGGAAGCGAACCAGTTTAAAGATCTCTGTAACTCTGGCTTTCAAATAAATATTAAATGAATCTTTAAAAACACATTTTCCAAAAAAGTAACCATATTTTGAGGTAATTTGTTAGATATACATATACAGTAAAGGCATTCCATATAAAATGAAATAATACCAGCTTCTCTTATTTTTTAAAAGCTAAGAAAATAACACAAACTCACTTGGGGGAGGATATTAAGCCATTTTGAAAATAAAATATTCTAAATCCATTAATATGTTTTGAAATAATGATTACATTTTTGAAGTCAGAGAATGTTAAACAAAAAGAAAAAAGAAGTTTGAGCATACAAACATCAGCCGTGTAAACTGAAGCTCAGAAACTGAATGCTGCATTTTTAATGCTCTTTGTAGCACTCTCTCTCGCCTCTAACCTTTTCCATTATATAGCAAAATTACCGTACTCTGGCCAAAACCTCCCTTTCTCTTTCTCTTTCTCTCCCTCTCATGTTGGCCACCACAGTTTAAAGGAAATTCAACTGTGAGTCTCAGGCAAACTACTGAGGAAGTGTACATCCACTAACCTGGGTGCAAATATTTGGCAGGCAGAGTGCAATTTTCACCATGTCGGGCAAAATGGACTGACACAGATGTTGAGCTTCTGCTTCTTCAAGTACCTGAAAATCAATAAAACATGTTATACGGATAAACAAATCTTTGTTTAAAGTCCAGTTATATATCTGCCTGTCACAGACTCTCACGCTGAGGCACATCATCAGTATCACCCACATGTGTAAAAGTATACCAACAGGTGCAGTAATAAGCTTACAGCTTCATGTCCAAATGTATAAAGTTCAGCTTAATGCTCTCTACAGACAAATTAGGAACCCAAATAGCAAATCTCTCTCACATCAACATTCACAATTAAATAAAACAGTTGGAAACAAGAACCACGACATTCTGACCTTGGTACATATCAACTCAACACCCAAGGACTCCCAGAAACCTTCAACAGACTACAATTTAATGAAATCATCTTACAAGCAATACCAACTACTTCAAAGTATACTGTATGTGTCAAATCTAACATATTAGGCAAGAAACAAGGTTTTAAGACAATAGGATTTTCCAGTTCTAGGCTCCCTTGGGAAGTTAAAACCACAACTCTCATCGCAATTTGAAGCGCAACAAAGACAACATTCATGGCCCATTTCTTGTCTTTAGAATTTCTAATGATACGGCTTTACACATTACTCCAGGCCTTTGAATCCAACTTCTTTCCACGCATGAGAGTACTTCTTTCAGATTCCTGAAAATGATACCACTCTTAACTTAGAGATTCTACATAAACCATCAGGACTGCAGTAAATAACTTAGGTACCTGAGTCACACTTAAATGAGAAGAGGGCTCAGTTATAATCCAGTCAGTCCAACCTTGCCAGGGTGACAGAGACAAGAACACTGGGGCCAAGACATTACCAGATCATCCTAGACTGCGAAGGTCAATTAGCAACTAAATCAGACCAAGAACTCAAGTGTTCAGACCCTGTTCCCTACTCCCCTCTGCTGTGCCTGTGTTTCGAACTGCTGAGCATACAGACTCTTCACAACTGCCTACAGACTGTCACTGCTACGGGAACTCAGCTGAAATAACAGTGAAATTACGCACTCATCTGTGGCTCCACAGCATATGGATGTAAACAGAGAAGATGACAAAGATAATTTATATTTGCTTTTGTTTTGGAGGTAAATTCTAACACTATGAAACCCAACTTCTGCTTACCTTGGGAAAACTGATATTCAGAAAGATATATGCAATCTGGGGAGTCTGGGATTTAATCAAACATGACTGTCTAGAAGACAATTATTAATTTTGGGGAAAACAAGAGAAGAAAAGCACTGATACCCCAGATATATTGCTTATACCCCAGAGGAAGAGAGTATAGACATAAATGAAATATGACAATAATAAGAAAATGGAAAGGCAATAAAAAGGAGTATGTGTAAGTGTGCATACGCAAGTGGCGTGGGAAGTGAGAACAGCTAAATCCTGGAGTGGAAGTCAACTCGTTAAAAAAAAAAAAAGTACAGAGTTAAATGGCTACCTCTTCAAAATAAACCTCTTTAACTCTGATAAAAAACTAAATCAAAAAATTAATCATTCATATAAAACATTCTATTTTATAAGTACACACTGAAGATATTTTCATAACTGAAAATATATAAAATACATCAATGCACTTGCTTAAGATATTCAAACACTTCTTGCTTATAATGTATAATTTTGCTTTCAAAATTATTTATTTTGAAATAATTACAGGTTCACAGGACACTGTAAAAATCAGAGCAGTACAGTATACCTTTCACTCAGTTTCTCTCAATGGATGCAGTTTACCTAACTACAGAATGCTATGAAGACCAGAAAATTAATCCTGGTACACCATGTACCTTTCTCTTCCATTTTATCACATGTTCACTTGCGTCACACCCACCAAGATACAGGACTGTTCCACTGCAAGGAAGAGCTCACGCTACTCCTACATCCTTGCACTCACTTCCTTCTTCCCACTATCCTAAACCCCTAGCGATCCCTAACCTGTTACCCTTCTCTATAATTTTAACTTTTTATATAAAAGTAAGTGCCCCTTTCAAACGGATTTTTCTTTCACACAATGTAATGCCCTTGAGTTTGACTTAAGATACTGCAAGGATCAATGGCTCATTGTTTCCCATTAATGAGCAGTATTCCGTGTTGTGAATACTCTCTGGTTTGTTTAGACTTTCACCTACTGAGGGGCATCTGGTTGTTTTCATTTTTGGCTATTACCAAAATTACCTTTTACTCTCAATCTGCCTATATCACTGTCTAAAATGACTTCCTGTAAACATCGCAGCAAGTAATTTTCAAAAACCTATCCTGTAAATCCCTTTTAATAGGTGAATCTAGACCATTTACATTTCATGAAATCATTGGTATATTAGGGCTTAAGTCTACCATTTCATTTCTTATTTCTTTTCTCTTTCTTTTTATGGGTTATTGGAACACAGTTTAGAACTCTACTTTTATCTAAAGTGTTTTGATTACAACTCAGTAAACACACACACCCACACGTGTGTGCATACCTGTGCACATGAGGGTATTTCAGAGATTTTATGGAAAATGGGATGAAAAGTTTATTCTGGTGCAAAAAAAAAAAAAAAAAACAAAAAACAACAACAACAAAAAAACCCACTTGGAATCCATGCATGCACAGCTTAGTGGCTGCTCTAGGCACTGCATTACTGATGTCAACATTTTCCAGTTCCAGTAAAATGTAGAGACTCTGTTTTCCTTTAAGTACCCTTTCCCTTTTCTATTTACAGTATAAATATCTTTAATATTTCCTTTCCATACATGAGAATCACATTAGAGCGTTTCATACTTTTGAATAAACAAAGGTAAAACACAATTCTGAGCATTTAAAAGGAGAAAACAAGCCTTATTAAATTTACTATATCTTTCTCCCTTCCTGATGGATGCTCCAAGATTCCTACTTTTATCACTGTCTCTGCTTGATGAAATTCTTTAAGTTTTTTTTTTCTTTTCTTTTCTTTTCTTTTTTTTTTTTTTTGACAGAGTTAGTGAGAGAGAGCGAGACAGAGAGAAAGGTCTTCCTTCCGTTGGTTCACCCCCCAAATGGCCGCTATGGCCGGAGATATGGCGATACGAAGCCAGAGCCAGGTGCTTCCTCCTGGTCTCCCACGCGGGTGCAGGCGCCCAAGCACTTGGGCCATCCTCCACTGCCCTCCCGTGCCACAGCAGAGAGCTGGACTGGAACAGGAGCAACCGGGACTAGAAGCCAGCGCCCATACGGGATGCCGGAGCCGCAGGTGGAGGATTAACCAAGTGAGCCATGGCGCCGGACCCCTCAGGCATTTTTAAAGATAGGTTTTGTTGGCCGGGTGCCGCGGCTCACTAGGCTAATCCTCCGCCTAGCGGCGCCGGCACACCGGGTTCTAGTCCTGGTCGGGGCGCCGGATTCTGTCCCGGTTGCCCCCTTCCAGGCCAGCTCTCTGCTGTGGCCAGGGAGTGCAGTGGAGGATGGCCCAAGTGCTTGGGCCCTGCACCCCATGGGAGACCAGGAGAAGCACCTGGCTCCTGCCTTCGGATCAGCGTGGTGCGCCGGTCACAGCGCGCCAGCTGTGGCGGCCATTGGAGGGTGAACCAACGGCAAAAGGAAGACCTTTCTCTCTCTCTCTCTCTCTCTCACTGTCCACTCTGCCTGTCAAAAAAAAAAAAAAAAAAAAAAAAAAAGGTTTTGTTGATGACAAGTTGTACTCCTTTTCTTTGATCTGAGAATAGCTTGGCTTCCTCCTCCTTCCTGAAGAATACTCAATGGATACAGAATTCCGGGTTGTCAGTTCCCTCCTCAGTCCTTCAAGGTATCTGCGCCCCTTGGTTCTGGCGTGTTTCCTGAGGAGAAATCCACTGTCTTTAGGAACCTGTTCTTCCCTACAGGCAACATGTCATTTTACTTGCTGCTCTCAAGGACTTATTTTTCCTTAGCCTTCAGTTTAAGCGTGGATTTCTTTCAGTGTATCCTATTGGAAGGTCACTCCAAATCCTGGAAGTTTGCAGTCATTCCTTCAAGTATGTTTTTGTTCCTGCTGGTTTTCTCCTCTTTCTGGTACTCCAATGGGAGGAATATCAAATCTTTTATTATGTCCCACAGATCGCTAAATTTTGTTTTCATTTTTGTAAGCTATTTTCTCTCTGCTGTTCAGATTGAGAAAATGTCTTTATCTTTTCCAATTTTATCAGTTCTTCTGTTATCCTCATTCTCCACTGAATCCATTCACTGAATTCTTAAAAAAAATTCAGGCATGATTTTTTTTAGTTCTAAAATTTCCTTGGTTATCTATAGCTTCTATTTCTTTGCTAATACTGTTATCCATTTCTTTCAATCATGCATGTAATTGTTCATTGAAGCCTTTTGTGATGGCTGCTTTAAAATGTTTGTCACATAATTCTGCCATCCATGCTATCCTAGAGTTGGCGTCTGTTGACTCACTCTCCTCATATTTCAGCAGAGGTTTTCCAGGTTCTTAGTGATGTGACTTTTTGAGTCTGATGAGGTTTTAGACTGTGTTTGAACCTTCTCTGTGGCTGACTCAGGGCCATCAGGGGAGAGGGTTGAGCGGCTCTGTCACTATCAGTTGGGGGTAAAAACCCAGGTGGGGCAGGCAGCCTTTACTGCCCAGAGTGGAGGCGGGGAGAGGAACCCAGGCTCCCCTCCCAGCCCCTCCCAGGTCCCACAATCCCTAGCTGATCAGTCATCTTCTCTCCACCTTTTAGTCTTCTGTCTGCATTGTTCACATTGTCCAGTGACTTTAAGGTCAGGGAGAAGTGCCTATCCAGACATTTTAAGCCAAAAGACTTAACCTCAAGTGCTCAAACGTCTTACTAGACTGACAGCTTGTTCTCCTTTGGGCACCTGTCCTTGTCTTTTAAAACTGACAGATGCATAGCTGCTGCTCTCCTCTTCTGACAAGCTTTACAATATCACTTATTTATCTGATAAGGCATTATGGCACTGTATTTCTTCAGAACTGTCAACACTCCAGACCTGTGTCTAATGCTGCTCAGGAAACAAATGAAAACATAAAAAAAGTCACTTGGAAACATAAGCAACTCAAC